GCTACACTACAATTTTTAAATGAGACTAAGTTTATCCTTTTATAAAATCTTGTAAATATGCTATCTTTTTAAGTTCATTTTAACCTACCAATTTATAATTAATAATCTACATATAACACAAGCTCTGCTTACAGTGGGAATAGATGACACTGTGTTAATTATCCACGGTTATTTATTTATACGTATATATGATTACTATATATTCTAATATAATTTTAACCATATCTGACTCTACAAATTGTATATATTATAAAGTTGACTATACGCTTTAATATTTCTGCGTGAAGATACGAACTAAAGTACTTTCTACGCCAAACTGAACGAAGTAATATCTGAGTGCTTTGTCGTTTTATATTGTGGGCACTCGTGAAATGTTAGGTTGTTTGGTTTAGACTTTAAGTCGAGGCAATATAGAAAATCGTTTTACGTACTAAGTCATATTCTGAACGGCAAGATTACGAAAATTAAATCCACTTTTATTATGTGTATTCATTCTATTTAATTACTATGATAATTATGTCTGATAAAGTATAATAAACTTTACTGACTGTTGAAATTTTAGTATCACTCGCTGCAAAAAATAGCGAGCTACTTTGAGTAAATATTCCTGGGTTCAATGCTTGACCAGGCCAATTTAGAAGAGACCTATTTATGTCGTTATTGTATTACTCTGTTGTTTCGCTGATTTATAGCAAAAACAAAAAGCGACTCAACCCACTTCCCACGGGTATTTATTTTATCGGCCTCGGTGATCTAGCGGTTTATAACACCGCCTTACCCGCACACTGATGGTCGAGGGTTCGATTCCTCGAACGGCACAAACATTTGTATTCATAAGTATGACTGTTTGTATCGGCCTGGTTGTTATCTATGTATAATATGTATGTTTTTACGAAAAAAAGAAATTATGCCTATGTATTTGTATCAGTTATAGTACTAGTACCTATAGCTTATTATGAGTCTAGATGACGCTGTGTGAATTGCCCTAAGATTATTATTATTATTAAAATTAATTTACTTATAAATTCTAAAAATTCATCGATTGCCCTAAGATTATTATTATTATTAAAATTAATTTACTTATAAAACCTTAACAAGTTGTACACCTAAACGTACCTTGATTAATATCCAGGGCCAGCTAGCGTTAGAGTAATTAGTTCACATTACTATTGATCCCTTCCCCGCCTGAACTCAATGTCGTTTAGAAAAATAACTTACGGATAAAACCTGTTAGTTCTATTCCTGTTAGTTCTATATATGGAAAAAAGAAGTAGTTGCCGATATTTTGTCCCCAACAAAGAACCGTTCGTTTTTTTGACAGCTCCATTTAGTTGTATTTCACAATAGGTCTTTTCTTTTCCCATATGAGATTTATAACACGAACTACTTTTTATAATTAACAATTCAATATTTAAAGGCGATTATTTTAGCGCTTTTAATATAGTTTAACTGGCTAGTTAACTCGGTTTCACACGGGTGACTTTCGTCTGTTTTGAATGACCGTTTAGTTTTTGATATTAAAGTAATATCCTTTTATAATAATAATAATAATAATCTCAGGACAATTCACACAGCGCTTAAGCTAGCTAAAGCTTGTGTTATGGGTACTAGATAACTGATACAAATACATAGATATTTTTTTTTGTAAATATATACATATTATACATAGAAAATACCCAGACCGATACACAAACAATCATACTCATATATACAAATGTTTGTGCCGTGCGAGGAATCGAACCTGCGACCATGGGTCGTAAAGCGGTGTGCTAGACCGCTAGACCTCCGAGGTCATCATACATTCAACTAATTTGTTTTATAGTACCTCCGTGTCGATAGATATTTATAATAATCCAGAATAAGTCACACAAAGCTATATAGTTCCAAGTTAAATAAATCTTATCCATATTGTTACAAACTGGCAAATTAGTAGTATGTAGGATATTATGTTAATCTCAAAAATTAACGAATGACTATTAGCTAATAGTCATTCGTTAATTTTCTATTAATATATATTATATATTACTATATATCAATATCTTACAATAGGTTACAGTTTATAGGTAATAACCAAAACCTGTCCATTTCAGATTAGCCGGAACAAACAGACAGACAGACAGACAGACTATGCATAATTTACAGACAGACTGTATTTATGCTCGAGTTCCTTTGAAAACAATTTCTAGTTAATTTCATCATGATAATCTGATTTGGTTCATCTTGTGGTTGAGGTGGGTCCACAATTTCGTATTCATCCTTAAAAAAGCAAACTACGAGTTCTGATATATATCTAAATATATATAACTCAAAGGTGACTGATCTATCAACGCACAGCCCAAACCACTAGATGGATCGAGCTGAAATTTGGCATGCAAGTAGATGTTATGACGTAGGCATCCGCTAAGAAAGGATTTTGATTAATTCACCCTCAAGGGGATAAAATTGGGGATGAAAGTTTGTATGAAACTTTCTCAATTTTAAACCCATCGGGCTGAGACTTTGCATGCACAAAGCTATTATGACGTAGGCATCCCCTAAGAAAGGATTTTGATAAATTCCACCCCTAAGGGGATAAGTTAACGCAAGCAAAGTCGCGGGTAAAAGCTAGTATTACATAAAACAGTCATTTTTTCAAATTCGCCGTAGCTATATGAAATACAAGAAAAATCTCATTGGAGTTTCATCACGTTCGTTTTAATTATAGCCTATGTCTCTTAAAGATCTCTACAGATAAATATCTAGGTGGCGAATGTTTATGGGCATTTTATGATCTCACTCGATCTGTTATTACAGTTAATATATAATTAATAAAAACAGTAATTAATGTAATTAGACGTAAAGTTCCTATTAAGTGTTATAATTTAGATTTTATTGGTTCGAAAGTACTTATAGGGTTCGATACTAAGACGTAATAAATAAACCTTACGTGAGAAATTACTCATGCCATTGTAATAGTCTTAGTTTTTTAATGTCTGTAATAGTTTTTACTTGTACAAAACAATGTAAGTACAAAAATAAGTACGTCTATTTTTAAAATCAATAAAAGAAACATTTTTATCTGGCTGGAAATTTCATTCGTAATTTGAAAACAGAATACCATATTTTGTTATTGTTCGAAATTGGAATACCTAATGTAAAAGTGAACATAATGTCGGAACGTACGCCGAATTTGTTCTAGAAATTAAATTTCTCCATCCTTTTGGAAAATTTAAATTTGAATTATATGAAGTATATAATTTATAACATAGCTACTTCAACTTCAATTACCAGGTCACTGTTCAAGGTGTTCTCAATACTTAATATTTCTTTTTCCGTTTATTACATATTCTGTTATATTCATAATAAAAAAATCTAAGACATGTAGAGTACGCAATTGAAATCTATAAATAAATAATAAAATATTGCATTATGCAGCATTAACGCATACTGCCGCGCACTGTATTAGTTTATAAATCATTGAAAACATTTACTGGGCTGTAACTATGTAAAGATTTATAGGCGATGGTCATGAAACAATGAACTTTTGTGGTGAGACCGAGCGAATTACGGTCATTCCGCGTTATGAGCTTGTTGAACCGGCTATAACTTCTTGGTGTCGTGGCCTAGTGATTCACTACCCCGACTTAGATCCCAAAGGTCGAGAGTTCAATTCTGGCCGACCTAAAAAAATGTGTACCTTATTTCTAACTAACTTTGCAGTGATGGAAACGATGGTAATAAACTTTAATATATTCTCGCCACATAGAAAGTTATGAAGTAATGATAGCATTGTTGTACCTTGACAAAACATAATAATAAATAATTTATTAGTAACATTCTATAAAAAGGTTTAGTGTTGACATCACAGTCACTACGACAAAGTACTAAAATGGTTTATTAGTGCTCGCGAACCACTATACTTGAAATAAAAATATAAATCTTTTAATTGACTTCAAGAAAGAAGTTCTCATTTATAAAATATTATTTTAAAGCGCTATGAGGTAACAGACAAACAAATATATAGAAAGATATTTTAAACAATTCAATACCTACATAATGTTGAAATAAGTGGTTAATAAAGATATAACTCTGTATAAATTAATCTCGAACATTTTGCGAAAATTAATGGAGCTATTTTCTAGATCCCCATTGAATCACTAATTACTTTCTAGACGTTTTTTTTTTTTATAATTTTGCTTCTCAACCTGCAACGTCATTACATCGCTATTAGTCATACACGTTATAAATCCATCAACCCGTATATTGTAATGTAAAAACCTTTTATGTCATCTTGCCTTTGCCTTAAAAATATTATGTTGTAAAATTTAATTTTCCAAGAGCTTGAATTAAAATAATTCAAATTCGTAGTACTTAGATATTCAGGCATTTTCGAATTTCGAATTATAATGAACGGAATAATTGGTGATTTTTGACGACCTCGGTGGTCTAGCGGTCTAGTACACCGCTTTACGTCCGATGGTCGCGGGTTCGATTCCTCGCACGGCACAAACATTTGTATTCATGAGTATGTATGTATTGTTTGTATCGGTCTGGGTGTCTTCTATATATATTCTGTATGTATTTACGAAAAAAAAATTATCTATGTATCAGTTATCTAGTACCCATAATACAAGCTTTAGCTAGCTAAAATTTGGGTCTAGATGGCGCTGTGTGAATTATCCTGAGATTATTATTATTATCATTATTATATATATTTTAACGATACTTTTTTAATCGGACTTAATGGTCTAGCGGTTTTACAGACTGCTTTACTTCCAATGGTGGCGGGTTCTATTGCTTGCACGCTACAAACATTTGTATTCAAGAGTATTATGGTTTGTATCACTCTGGTTTTCTATGTATATTATGTATGTATTTAGAAAAAAAAGTGTTGTCTAGTGCCCATAATACTGTAGTTTTATAAAAATTCGTTCAGTACTTTTTGCGTCAAACATCCATCTTTCCAGCAATATAATTTTTCACGTTTATGTTATAATATTAGATAATATTTAATTTTCCAGTAGAAAACTTACAAACCTGATGACACGGATGGCCATTCTACTGCTGTGCCATGCAGCTGGAGTGGGACTAGCATCACCAACAGTGCTGGTGACGAGACCTGTCTCCAGGGCACCCACGGAGCGACTTCCAACTGATAATCAGACAATTTATAGGTTAGAAGCAGGAGAAAGTAGAAAGTGAGTATTATATAATAATAGCATATAATAAATAGTATAATGTAATAAAACCTAACCACTAACTACTACTGATTTAATCTTATTGTGTTTTTATATTTGAGCCTAAATAAATTGGTGCTGGTTGGTAGTTTGTATTCACACGTTTCTACTTGTAAAATGTGAACTAGGATTGTTTAAAAGAGCAACACACAAGTTTCTTGCTTATTCTTCTTGTGATGAAAAACTTTACGAATAAGCGGTAGATTTAAAAAAAAATGTTGACTATGCAAAAGTGCTTAAATTAAGGTATTTGAATAAATGATTTTCTATTCTATTATATTCTAACTAAACCTAAAATACCAAATTATCTAAGCACTAATATTCGTAAATTCATACTCAACAGTCGATTTTATGATATAGGTGGGTGAGTAATTAAAAAGAGTTTTGAATAATTCGAATTATACTCAGAGATACAGGATGCTAAAGGGTGTAACCGTTTTGTATATACGAAAAAAATAATCGGGGTAAGATCTACTACCACCAATCTATTCTAATTTATAACAAAATTCCGAAAAGCATAAAAGAAGAAAAAAAATAATTTATTTAAAAAAAGACTCAAATATTTATTGACCGCAAAGGCTTATATAAACGAACGAACGAGAACGGTTTGACTGATTTTTATGAAATTTTATATGCCTATTCAGTAGGTCTGAGAATCGGCTACTACCTATTTTTCATACCCCTAAGTGATAAGGGTTGTCCACCCCTAACATTATTTTTTTTATTTTTTGGCCAAAATTTTTTATTTTTGTGTCATTTAAAAATGTCCTAAAAATTCACCCTTTATCACGAACCCCTATTTTTTTATAGCATTATTAATTTATATGGCAAAACAACGTTTGCCGGGATAGCTAGTATAATAATATAATATAATAAATAGTATAATATAATAAAACCTAACCTAACCAAATCTAAAATACTAAATTATCTAAGCACTAATAGGTATCAGTAAAAAAAGTTCATACTCAACAGTCAATTTTGTGATATAGGTGGGTGAGTAATATAATAGAATTTTGAATAATTCAAATTATACACAGAGATACAGGATGCAAGAGGTTGTAACCGTTTTATAAAAATAAAAAAATAATCGGGGTAAGATCTACTACTACCAATCTATTCTAATTTATAACAAAATCTCGAAAAGCAAAGAAGAAGAAAAAAATAATTTATTTAAAAAAGAGGCTCAAATATTTATTGACTGCAAAGGCTTATTATACTATAAAAGAATTTTTGGCAGACGAACTGTAGGAGATAATCAGAATACTTCATCCAAACAAACTGACATAACAACAATATGGAAAATAGACATCTACGAAATTGCTACACTCTTTAAACAGAGTCCACGTGTGTATTGTTGATTTATCATATGTAAATTTATTGTATACTAGCTGCACCCGCGACTTCGTCCGCGTGATAATATAACTTTATTTTTCTAAAATTAAAGTAGCTTAAGTTACTCTGTATTACATCAGCTACCTGCCAAATAAGTTCCGTCAAAATCGGTCTAGTCATTTCAGAGATTAACCAGCACAAACAGACAGACAGACAAAAATTGCAAAAAATATTATTTTGGTGTATGTACCGTATTTATATTAATATGCTTGTAGTAAAAAACGGTTAATTCAATATTACAAACAGACACTCCAATTTTACTTATATGTAGAGATGCATGTGCAATTATAAATATATATTTTACACTGCCACCTGACCCAGAGCCCATGGCTGGCTACGACCATGCCATCAGGTCCATTCCAGTTACATAAAATAAAACACATTCAAGATGACATTCTAGGATCTATCTTATTTTATATTTCGCGGTCGACACCGCACATCTTTCATATCAATGGATTTGTATGATTTATTACGTAGAATAAATCCTGTTATTGTGTTTGCGCTTGTGTTAAGGTGCTTTACTACTTTTAGTCCGCGAGCCAGAGACTTTTTTAGTCAACTAGCCCCGGTCTAGAACTTTTAAGATGGTCAAGAAAGTTGTAAACTTTTTTGCGACAGTACTGCTCCTCAATCCGGAACCTCAGCTTATAGAGTATAACAATATATTCTTCAATATATTTGTTTGTAACAAAAGAAAAATTCATCAATCATTCACATAAAAATTGTCTATATTTAAATCGAACCTGGCACCTAGCAAACTTACTGCCATCTCTTGGGTTAATGATGATTTGGTAACGATATTCTCGTCAACAAAGAGTCTCTCTAAAAAAATCACTACTATTTTTGTGTCGCCTGAATTCTGTTCTACGACCTTTGAAGTCTAAGCTAAACATTACTAATATAGCACGAGTACGCCACTTAAATGAAATAAATTTGTTTTGATAATTTCAGAGATTTCACTAATGAAGGAACTTAAAATTATTTATGAGCAATCATTACATTTTATAGCACTGTACGGTATTAACGCAAAATACTTAATAGATGAAATACTAATGAATATAATTATTGTTAATATAGATATAATTAATAATTCCTGTTTTCGTGTTCTAGTTTGGAATTAAATACATCCACAAACGCACAGTCGCCCGTTTTCATTACGGTCAGTCCCTGCACAAGGGATTTCCGGTGGGCAGTTTACCGCAGTATGGCGCATATTATTAATGGTATGCATGAAACCTTTAATTTGATTTTAAATCAGTTGCAATATATTACTTTTGCTGAATTTCGAAACAGAATATTTCTGTTTATACAATTACATTATTTGTTTACTGAAAATGTTGATGATTTAGAACTAAAATGTTAGTGTAAGTACAAGAAAATTATCTTAATTGTGGTAATACTAAACACCGGTACCAACATAATAGGTAGTACTGAGAAAGTAATCACTATGAATTGTGGATAGTAAAAGAAATTGGAAGTAAAAGTTGGAGTATAAAAAAGACGGTGCGTTCGTTTTTTAATTATGGATTCCTTTTATGAAAGATAATAAGAATAAGATATATCATCTTGCTATTGTTCATGATAGAACGTAACAAATAAAACAAAATCGAAATTAAATTTTAATTCGAAATTAGAATTGAATTTTATGTACGTATGTAAGTTTATAACCAATTTTCAAGCTATCATTTACATAGAATTCACAACGCAATTAAATACAACGTTTTAATATTGATTTTGAAGTTTTTTATTGTTAATTGAAGTGCAAAATTAATTTGTATATACACCAACTAAACAATTCTTGTATGAAACTGTGCAAACTCTTCTTTTTTAGATCTAATACAGATTATTATCTAAGTAACGTTAATTGTTCTGTGACATTATGTTATCATATCATTATCATGTTACGTGAATGTAGTAGAATATAGTAATTACCGCCAAAATATAAATTCAATTCATTGTTTTAATTCCAAATTTGAATTTTATTAAACATACTTTTATTTAGAAAAAGCTTTTCATTGTTGACATTTTTGTAAGTAATTAAGATAAATTTCTTACATTTTAGGTCCTGTATCTTTGTTAAAACAATTTAACGATGGGGAGTCGAACACGTTAGCAGTATTTATTTCGAAGCAAGAGAGATACTTTATACAGGTAAGTTTTCTACATTATACTTACTAACTGCGTGTTGTGATGGTATACCACCATAAAGCATACGGTTCATCTGATGGTAAACGATTACCGTAGACTTTATACTTTTGTCCAGATTTTACAATGTATTAACATCTTATCTAAAGTCAAGTTGTTTCCATCTCTTATATGATTTAATGACTTCAGGTGAATGTCTGCAGGCTCCATTTTTTTATATATCTGCTAGAATCCACAGACGAAGTATATATTTACAATATATCTACATATCTTACAATTATCTTGTAGGTATTATATAATAGAAGCAAACAGGCGGCATCTTCACATAGTATAAAAAAATTACATCCCGCTGTCGCTGCTTAGTTCTTTTAAATTTTAATGCAGTTTTAGATAAAGTGTTTCAAGAGTATAATATAATATCTACTATGCATCCGTGCGAAGACGGGTTGGCTCGTTAGTTATAATTTTTAAGTATGATTTTCAGCTTTCATCCTTAAGAGGTGGAACAGTAGCAGTGAGTGTCAGAGGAGAAGTGCCAAGAACTGTCCGCATCAGACTCCGTATCAGATCCAGGCGAAGACTTGCCGCCAATTGGGATCCCAGGTAACAGACAAACAAATCGTCTGAGGCTATTTTATTTATTGACTACACTCGCATTCTAATTGTATTGTATTGTGATTACCATTATCTGTGTACCAATTTAAATGAAATTTGGTACACAGATAATCCAGACCCTGAGTAAGGACTAAGGCTTTTTAATGCAAAAAAAAAAGGTCGTAAGAAAATCGAAATAAAGATTTGTATGAAAGTATCGTCATTTTTAAAGCTAGAAAGCTTGAAACTTAAATTTTTGGCTCTTTATATTTATAAATAAAGAAAAAAATGGTAGTAATGGTTTGAAAGGAGCGATGAAAAATTGTACGGAAGTATTTTCATTTTTAAACCTAGAATCTTAAAGCTTATTTTTTAGGCTGTTGATTAAATGTAATTGAATACATATAATATTCAAAGTTTGTAAAAATGTTACCCTTTAGGAGATAAAAGAAAATAGGAAAGTTTGTGTGGAAATCAACATTTCTGAACCTAGAACAATGAAACTATTTTCTTAGCCGTTTTCAGGTTAGATTATTGATTACTTTTTCTATATTTGGTCAATTCCACGCGGACGAAGTCGCGGGAAAAGCTAGTCGCCTAGAATACAAACATCTGTGAAAATTCAAGGTTCCAAATCAGTTTGTAGCATTGATTGATCAACCAAGTATAGTGGTGTCTTAACAAAAACATGTCAAGTTATCGACACCGTTATCCATATCTCTCGGCAACATAAATCTGATGTGTCACTAGTCGCCTGAGTACACGGAATAAATGAATTTATGATACGTCCCCTTGTAGGGAATAAATGGGCTGTCCTGTAGCGTGTAGCATTATTAAAGCATATAATCTTTTCTATAGGATATTATTGAAAATTCCGTTAACTTAACACCCAATTTTGGCGAGAATTACACACCACAGGAGGTGGTGGATGTGCGTTTTCGTAAATTGTGCAATCTAATGTATTCAGTAGATACTGAAGGCATCAAATTTGTGATTACTTTCACGAGTTGACACTTTTTGTTGGATGTTTGGTATTTTACTTAAAAACAAATGTCAACGTTGAATAAACTTACAAGAATAAATATTAGTAAAGTAGTAGCCTAATACAGTAGGGTCTAGGGTACGCTAGGATTTGGCATTCGATCAGTCCCAACCATATTGGTTCGAAGGCCAATTAAATCAGTCAGCGCAACTCAACTCTATTCCACGGCCTCAGTGCTTTAGTGGTTTAGAACACCGGCTTGCTTCCGATGATGTCGGGTTCAATTTCTCGCTCGGTGTAAACATTTGTTTGGATGTTTGAATCGGTCTGGATGTTTTCTATATATATTATGTACATATCAGTTGTCTAGTATCCATAACATAAGCAATGAAATTAGATGGTGCTGTTTGAATTGTCCTGAGATTTATATTACTTGTTGTTAGTATTACCACAATCTGAATGATTATTTAGGTTTGACTCAAAAATAGTGTGTGACCAAAAAATACACACCTACTTTGTCACTCAAACCAACAAATCGACTCGACAGGTCGTAATGCATAGATTCATCAATTCAGCATTGTAGATAAAAAAGTTTTTAAAAATAGAACTACTATGTAATTCCATTTTTTATTTTTTAATTAACTAAGGGGTGTTTCGAGCACTTAATTTAAAAGTTGAATAGCGCACCAGCCAGTACTCACCTGATATTTTTATTCTGAAAAGTTGTGTACTTAGTGTAATTAAATAGTTAACAGTCTTTAAAATGTCCATGATTTACAAGATGAAAGTTGTCTTTTAAATTATATTTTACAATGTTATTATAGTTATTTGTTATTTATATTTTAATTTATATATATGTACTAGCTGAACCGCACTACTTTGTCTGCGTCACATTTACTTGACATTTATAATTATATTTCGTCTAATATCTTTTTAAATTATAGCCTATATGTTATTCTGACGTATAAGCTGTATAGGTATTGTATAGTGACAGCAAAATCCGTTCAGAAGTTTCTGCGTGTAAGTAAGTAACATTCATTCATCCATAGTCACTAACTTTCCACGTTTATAATATTAGTAAGATAATACTCTTAAATCTAGGCAGTACCAAAGGATATTTAGGACTTAGGACAAAAAAATTATAGGACATTTTAGTTACTTTCATATCAGCGTTTTATTAGATTCTTTTTAATCTAATCATTTACTGTTAAAAATTTAGCACTTTTATCCAAATATACACCAAACAAAATAGTAGAATTACAACAACATTAATATAATAAACGCTTAAGTTTTATAACAATTTTTATTGAATAGTCAATAAGCTCTCAGATCTATTAAATCAAAACTGCTATAAAGCAATTATACAAAGATGGTATGTTGTAACATAATAAGTAACATATAATGTGATTTATTACTGCGGGAGACGCTATTTCTTCATGCTCTAACATCACAGTACACGAACATGCCCTAAAGAGGCAATGTACATGAAAAAAGGACGATTCATATAAATATGATAGTTGTTACGTTTCTAACATGCCACTTTTTATAATTTCCTCTTTTATATTTTTTCTATGTGTCTATCGTCTTACTTGATTCCTTATATAGTAGGTATAAACGTAATATTTCTATTTTTACTAGCTTTATCGAATGCTCTCCTAAACTTCCTGTTAAAATACGTACAATGCTAAGTTAGGCGAATTAAAATTTTTCATATACAAAATGAATAATGTACAAATTACTTTCAACCTTAATAGACGAGGCATTAATTTCGTCGCGATTGTTATTCTAGATATAGTTATAGGTATTGACATCAGTTGAGGTCGTGGTATATTGTAACACTTGACATGCCTGCAATGCTGAATAGGTAGGTAGGTATTATATATTTGAATCGAACGTGATAAGAAGCGACCACACCGCCGGCTCTCAGATGGTTTAGTTTATTATTGGTGTTGCCATCTTCGGAAATTTAGTCAAAATTATAAAGAATTAGCTACCTTTATAAATCCCGCGGCGCTGTCCGTCTGGTTGAAGTATTTTTTTTAATTATTACTACTTATTATGATACTTTTTTAAACGTAGGTACTCACTTTTTTCATTCAGTGTCTCATCATATAACAGTAGCAGGTATTTGATGAATGCGCAACAATACTGGATGAATGGCATACCGCCTTTTCAATGTAGATTCATCTCAGATCAACGGCGCAGCATCAGTCGTGCATTCCTTTAGATAATCTGTCCCGTTAATGTTTGCTGCAAAAAGTTCCAGTTAAGATTGTATTGACGGAATACTTCGAGGTTTTTGTAACTTGAGTTGATAATAGAAATGATACACTTATATATGATTTGTTGCACACAGTTTACACATTGCTTTATTTTTTATGGTCGCGGGTTCAATATCAATGCAATACAAATAATAATAATTATTTATTTATTTGTGAACGATTCTGGGTACATTATAAGATGTAACAAAAAACATGATCCTTACAAAATTTGCTTAAATGAAGTGTATAAATATTTATTAACTATTAAACTACTGTATTTATCGCTAACATTAGATTTTTACATTCTTTATTTTATTTCTCTTTCAACCTACTATGGCCTAAATTATAAATACCATAGGCTAACATATATATGTATATTAGTCATATTAATGTGAATAAATATAAATTGTCTCTATGGTCCCGGCACTTCAGCCAGTAGTCCTCCTTCATGAAGGCGGGCAGCATTATGTCGGTGGGGACCCGGGCCATAAACGCCTTGAAACTCGTGTTCTGACTCGATCCCTGGTCACCCTCAGGTTTAGGTTAGTCGTAGTCGACAATGTCCTGCTCCTTGGTGGGGTAGTAGAGGCGGGATAGGTACATTTTCGTGGGCGGTGTAGCAGCTATGTTATAAAAAACTATTCTATTTTTTTTTATTTTGATTAAAAAATATATAGTTCACAGTCAATTACATGTAATTAATTACACTGAGAATCATAGAGAATATAAATCGACACCGGCCAGATGTCTTTGAGTACTTTTTATATCAATGTCAACCATTAGACAGCACGCCATAGCGTTATATCACGATACTGCGGTTCTTCCATTAGATAACTGGATTTGAAAGCAATCCTATGCATTCTCCCATGCTACAATGTATCTTTATGATCATCTTAGCGCAGTGGTGTGGTCCAATGGTTCACACTAACAGGAATTCAAGTTCGATTCTCCATTTCAATAGAATATAAGATGGATTATATATTTTATTTAGTTCATTCTAATTTTACATCATTATATTTACTGATGAATCAATCGTCAAGTAGATGTTACGATTTCTTAAGGGCTAACAGGTTTTATGTTTATTTTTAAACAATATTGAAAGGTTCAATTTTTTTTTTATTTTAATTTAATTTATTATCGAAAGTATCTTAAACCAATGAGGTTTAAAAAATTAATTCTAATTGAACATTAAGAAATTGCAAGGCTAACAAATTGAATCCAGGTATTATCGTTCTGAGAATGCAGACTGCGTTGCCTCACTACATCACAATGCTGAGGTTGTAAAGACAGAAAGAGGAACTTCTTAGCCCCACCATGTTTTATTCAGTACTTACTTATAAGCCATAGATTTATTAGTTACAATTTTTTTTTCATATTTGGTCCCCACTGACAATCTAAACGTTCCGACATGACACATCTAATCGACCACCAATAGTTTTTATCTGATCAACTGAAATGGTAAACAAGTCGACAGTTCACCTATTTTACACTACGATTGTAGGAAACAAGCATACCATCCATCTGATGTTAAAAGCCTATCTTAGCCTGTGTAATAAATCTTAAACTAGGGGTCTCTGAAATACTAGGAGTGTCACATGGGCATTACGAACTCTTAAGAAACCCTAATTCTAGAAAACCCCCATGCCGAAGTCACTCGAGGGAATCTCCACAATTAGTTCGTTCCACAATCTAACTATACATCGGAGAATGCTCAATTGAAACTCCCATCTGATAATAAGTAGCAGTTTAGTAATCTGATAAATACCTAATTTACATTTTGTTTCAGTCCTATAGACCCCCAATCAACAACATACTGCGTGGTTGCATCACACGTCAGAAATTATACATCATTATGTGCAGCTCTATTCGATGCCAAAACCAACCGACTGGATAACAAATCAAACCGATTCAACCCTGAGTTGGATCGCATGAATTTCGAGATTCAAGGATTGACTTCACAGACAGATCGTAGGAACAATACCAACAGTTACGTCTTAACTGAGGTTGATAATAAAATTGAAGTGGAAACTGATATTAATTCATCATTTGGATCATACGAGGGCAATTTTAAGAGCATTTATAGAAGAAAGAAATATGGTAAGTAGTATTCAGGGCGTAAAAGTAGTGACTCTATTATGTTTTTTATACTACAGTAGCAATCAAGCATACCACCCATCTGATAGTAAACGGTAACTGTAGCCTAAGGCTACATCTCCAACACCAACTGTGCCAAGTGCATGTTTGGTAAAGATATACAATGCTTCTTCCTTACAAATGGCAATTGAATCTTTTTGAGAAATTTCTGTTCAAATATTATTGTGTAAATATTATTATACGTAAAATGCCTAATTTTAATTTATAATTTTTAAATTAAAATTAGGAAATTTATTTTTAAAGAAAAATTTTCCCCAAATTGTCAAATGATTAAATTCGCAATAAATATATAGAAGAAATCGTAATTATTATATCTTTTCAGCCAATCATAAATTATTTGTAAGTAAAATTTCACGTCCTTTCCTTTTTCGGGGGTCGTTTTCCCATCCGTTCTGGATGGAAACGATTTTTTAATTAATTTTTAATGGAAATAACGCACTGAATGGGAAGTCATCCATCGTGAATATAAATATTAAAATGTAACTTTGCTTACTTCGATGATTTTTCGGCTAGCATAGCAAATTCTTTGTTTGCTTAAATGTTTAGACTGGGTGAGATATGGTAGTGAAATTATAGAGTACTGAGATATGACACTCCAATATTATTTATATGTATAGATATAGATGTACAATTTATAAATAACGTTTTTAGGACGTAGCACAAAGGTGACGAATGAAGATCCGGTGATTGCCTGCGTTGGTGACAGAACTCATCATCTGATGGAAAACTTGGATCCTAGCAGAGTAAGTTTTATATAATAGGCGTGTTTTATGTAAATCACTGAAATTTCAATATGGCGGTAAAGACACTGTCAATAAAATTGTCAGTTGGTATATTAATTTATCGATAACTTGCTATTTACCTCAGTGTTGTAGGCGTGAGTTCGGGTACAATTATACTCTATTCATTATAATTATAAAACAAAAGTCCCTGGCCGCGTTTGTATATAATAATCGCGATAATCTCGAAACTACTAAGAGAGATTTTAATGCAGTTTAAGTAAATCAACAGAGTAATTTCTGCGGAAGTGAACCTTCCGCAGAAATTACTCTGTTGATTTACTTAAACCGCATTAAAATCTCTCTTGTTTTCTAAATAATGTTTTCTATAAATTAATTGTAGTATTCGTGCGAAGCCACATGGAAGCTTACTAGTGAAATATATTTCCTTAAAAGACGTATAATATATCCACAAGTTCTCAGGTATTACTTAAAGTTTTTATTCTTTGAAATCAACAGAACAAATATTTTAATTAAACTTCAATATAAATGGGTTTCTTTCTATGAAGTGTAGGTAGTTACTTGTTTTTACTTTGATTAAAATATTCGATTGTGGAAATAAGAAAACAAAACTTGTCAAACAAAACAATAGACGTTAAATATTACAAGCGTTGAGTATTGTTATTTTTTGTTTGCACTTTGTAAATTAAGAATGTGATTTAATATCCTTTAAACATTGGCATTCAGTACTGGCAACATTTAATTTTGTTTTACATAATGGATGAAATATGTATAAAATGCATAAATTATTGCAACCAACTGTTATTTAGTTTGTGTACGTTATAAATCATTCGTTACGTTCATTCATTCAGCGGTAGGTACGTAATAAATTTCATTCTCCCAAATGCGAATTCCAAATTTTAAATTTAGAATAGTTATAAATTATACACAAGGCAACTCAAATGACCTAGCAAGAAAAAAGGTCGCTTCTAAATAGTAGATACAAATATTTCTTTGGACTTCATAAAAATTATCAATATCATATATATATACATTATACACATTAATTTATTCAGTACTAGCTAGCCCGTGCAACTTCCTCTGTGTAACATTTTCCCGAATATGCAACCTTTTTATTTCATTACATTTAAAAATAAGCCTGATATTCTTACTTTTAAATAAATTTAAAGCATCAATTAAATCATATTTGTTGAGCAAACCGTAGTACTCACTTTTACTTAAATAACAAACGATTGCACATGTACGAGATTTTCATTTAATGTTAGACATAGACACCTATATAAGTACATAACGTAAATAAATTGTATTTAAATAAAAATGAAATTCATTAAAGTTTCTTGCCAGTCTTTTCAATTGATCCTGTATACTTAAATGGACAGCAGGAAAAAATATTAATCAAAGAACTTGACATTCATAAGCGACTAAAATGTCCTGCATTCCTGTAGGATTGGTGACCGAATTCCGACCGTTATTAAATCTAAGCTATATTGCTATATTTAGATTTATTTTAAAATATATAATAGTATAAGTATAATATATTAAGTAGTAAATGATTTATTGTTTGAATTTGTATCCAATCTGTGATCGTAATTCTCATGAGAAATAAAATTACTAAAATGCGTAAGCGCGCATACAATATAAAAATTGTAATCAACATTTTGTTTTAGAAAATCAGAAGTTCCTATAGTGAATAAAATTTTTCATTATTTTTATAAAGATCATAAAAGTATTTATTTTCCAGACTTACTTCGTAAGTGTGTTTGGTGTCGCCAGAGATCGTCGAGCTGGCTCCCTTTTGGCTAGTGGAAGCGTTCGCCCGCGAACATCTACAGCCAAGCGGCTTAGAGAAAATGTACCTTATCGCTCTGATATTAGGACGAAAACTGTTTATTATTTTAAGGTAAGTCAATCACAACACAGAGTAATCAAAATTACTTTTTATAAGAGTTGGTACAGTGTTTATGAGAATGAAACCAACAACGATGTACCATCCCATAATGGTTCTATAAAATAAGTATATGCACAAGTTCAAGTATCTATAGGTATTTATTATTTGTTTTTGATATAAGTGTGATGGGCATAATGTAAATCACATGCAGATGAAGAAACATAAGTTGTACCAAAAAATTTTATACTAAGTTTTATCACAGAAAATGTTTAATAGGTATCTTTGTTAGTCGCCAAAATTAAAATATTATGCAGATATTCTATCTTTAACGTTGATTCCCATTCCTATTATAAAAAAAAACTTGTAATATTCTCATTGAATTACAATCTCCTATTTCAGGCTACTATAGGAACTGGTGGAGGCCTGTGGTTAACTCTATCAACCTGTGGTGGAGCAATTGACGTCGAAGTTTTAGTGAGAGGGAAAAGATTGTATACAGCAAAAAATATAGGTATGAACAAAATATAACCAATAAATAATAATCACAGAGACACTGCGTTCGTATAAAGTACATCAATTGAGACTTCTACATACAACTAATCAACAACAAACGGGGGTAGGCTCTCCCTCCCTCTGCCCTTTTTTTACTTGGAGTAAGTAGAGAATAATAAAAAGAGTAAGTCCGCTTTGAGAGAATCAAACGGGTACTATTAGACTCCTACTCAATATAAACTCCAAGATGTCCCTCATCGAACTCGAATGTGCCGAAATCGTAGGATCAAATGACAGTCCACCACCGTCAAGTGTAGTTCACCATGATGTCAACATTTCACAATCATTAACTACCCCAATTGATGTAAGGAAAGGAGGCGTGAAGGAAAATATTATTTTTAGTGTAAGTTACATCAATATTCTGTTGGATAGTATTTTCACACAAAATCTAAAAGTTATAACCACTTCCCATTATACCACCGTTTGCCACCATCGTGATATCTTACCTTACCTTTAGCTAACAAGCTAAAGGTAAGTTTTTTTAACTCCGATGAGAAACATCTCATTGGAGTTAAAAAAAATCTCTAAAATCTATTTAACAGTAACTGTATGTTTAAAGTACTCATTCCCTTTTACAGAATACCATTCAAAATTCTTCGTTCCAGTACCAATACCAACCTCGTCAATACAGGAGACGAGTGATGAAGGTTCAGTGCAGTTTGACTCCAGTTCAGAGGAAGCGAGAATGAGATACGTCATCAAAGTGGTGCCAAACCGGCGGGACAGAGATGGCAGCATTAGTGTGGAGGTTGGTTTAATTATAGAATATAATACAAATAATCTTTAGTCAAATTGTTGCCTAAAATGACTTTTTTATTCACGATATTTAAGATATGTGTAATAGAAAATTAACCTGATCAGCGACTAACTGATGAAATCTCCTGGAATTACAAAAAAAAACTAATCAGGCATATGTCCTTTACATAATAGAAGAAATAGAAATAGGAGTAATCTTTATTGAAATAAACTTAATATAAGCATTTTTAAATTATATATTTCACATTTTTCATTTTACCACTCATTCAGAACGTAGACTCATTACAAGAAGAATGAGCAAGAAAATTGGGTATTGCTCTTTTAAATAAATGTCAGCAGAGTTAATTTTTAAGAATTTTGTGAGAACACAAACTGCCAGATAGCAATAAATAAATAAATAGATGAATAACAAAATAAATCAGTTATAAATATCAAAGTAGTCGTATAGGTCACAAGTATACGATTATTATTACGATTATGTTACGCTTTTTAAACGAATGGTTGAAAATATTTACCATTTTTTAGGGAGCCAAAATAAACAAAATTTAATAATAATTATAATTATTATTATTATAAAAAAAATAAACGTACAGGTTCACTGATACCTTCCAATAAATAGTTTATGTGTAAGTTTATATAAGTTTTTGTTGATATTATGTATGTTTATTTATTCATTTAGTAAATATCCTGTCTTGTGGGTGCCACTTTGTGTCAACTTTTCCTTTACACAACTCCTTTCTTCCAGGTTGTTTGTAAGATTTTAATTACCTACTACTATTGTTCTAGTTATATTTCTTCTCAGTGCACAATAAAGAGTTTATTATTATTATAAATTTTAGATTGCAGCTTCCACAACAAGATGGGGTATAAATATTCCAGAATTGTCTGAAGACGCCGCCATAGTGCGAGAACTGAGACCGAAGAGATCATGCAGATCCATTGATATTGCGTTTTTGCCGGCCACTCATAATGCTACTGATGTCATTAGGTGAATCAACTTTATTATTTCACCCCACGACTGCGCAAGATCCACCCTTTAAAAGTTCATATTCAAAATTCTATTTTATTTACATAGGAAGCCGTTTTTATTCAAATATCTATATTCTATATATTTAATCGAATTAGGTGTTATTTGGCGGATGTTTTTTTCATTGCTTATTGGATTTATTTATTTTGTTTAATTCCTCTACCATGTGTGAGACTACAAATATTGAGTGCTGAAACCTGATCACCGTTACTTGAAGCGTTACGACTAGGGTTCATGATTTCTCGAGCTTTTCAATTTCTCGGGTCTCGATTCTCGAGGTCAATTTCTCGGGTCTTCTCAGGTTGTCGAGAAATTTACATTTATGTACGTTTTCTCATATTATTTGGTTCCAATAACGTCAAAAAATTCAGTGGTTTTCCTCACAAATAAAAGTATCAAATTAAACTTTTATTGAGTATATTTAAAAACATTAATATTACATATGAATATATTTTTTTTTTTAAATGAGAAATAATATTAGATCCTTACATATGAAATTGGTGTTTTGTCGTAAAATTCTCTCTTTGGTTACCATTTCCAAATTTATACAGCTATTCACTTTGGGTCACTCACAGCATACAAAATGAAAAAACTTAAAATATCGCGTTATTTAGTAGAGTTCCGCCGTGGCAAGTGCTACACTGAAACGGCTCACAGTGGTCTCGCAAAAGAAAACACGTTTTTTGGTTCCAACGTTTTCGTTCTGGAAATTTCGACGAACCAACCAAATCCTTTATGGCTCAAAAAATGTTACTTGTGAACGTTTGATGGACTATTTCCGGTGTTGTTCACTTCGGCTTTCCAAATCTGGCCAGACGATTACGGCAAATGTGTATTGTCAGCAATTGAGAAACCATAGCTAGCTGCTAAACAACCGAGGCTGGTCAATCGCCAAGAACGCTTAACCACATATTGCACAACAGACAGTTACCAAATTAAAAGAGCTTCAATTGGAATGTCTAAGACAACCACCGTTCTTCCCGGACCTTGCACCTACAGATTACCATTTTTTTTCGAAATTTGGATAACGTATTTTGCATGTAGCAAGGGAAAAAAATTACACTCCGATGGGGCAGTCCAAAGTGCAAAAACAAAAGGCAAAAGTGCATAAATAGAAATGGTACGTACTTTGATTAAATAAATATATTTTATATATTATTTATATATTCCCTTACAAAACGCCAATTTCAATTTTTTAGGTCCTAATTATTCAGACTTATATTTATAATGATAGCACCATTTTTGGCTGCTTATTTAGATAAAAAAAAACAATGTAAACAAAAATAGTTTCTACAAAATAAAAAAGTAACATGAATGTGACATGAAAACAAAAACGTTAATATCTTAAATTATTGCGCCGCCACGCAACAAAACAAAGGGCAATTTAATTTCTATATAGGTACATGATTTCTCGAGTTCTCGACTTTTCTCGAGCTTGATTTCCCGGGAACAAAACCCATGAATTTCCCGGGAATTCTCGAACCGAGAATTCCCGGGAATAAACCCTAGTTACGACCTTCCTTATTAGTGATCAAATTTCCATGGTTATTGAATCAGTAGGTACTGTCAGAAGTGCATTCTTACCATTTTTACATTTTATATTCCAATTAACTGATACAACTTCGTCAGTATCAGTTTTTCACCGTTTTGCAACATGCGCCATCCAACATTAAAAGAATATTGAAAATCTATTCAGTACTACCTGAGATTATTCCGAACATCCAAGCTCTCAAAGTTTGCTTTTTTTAAATATTATATTAATATAGATTTTGTAATATTAGAAATACTTAAACATCTGAGCGACCTAGCATCACCCGATATGGTGCCTGTAGAGATTTCAAAGGTAAAATGTTATCAAAGTATACAAAGTTTGATTAAACTCGATTGAATCGTTTCGAGATACATCTAATATACATGTATGTATACGTAAAACCTTATTTATCACGAACTATATGTACATAATTTTCTGTAAAATTATTATTTAAGTAACGATTCCTTTTTAGATATTGTACAGTCGTCAGAGAAAGTGTAAATGGTGAACTCTACACATGTGCCATATCAAGAAAGTCGTATGTGAAGACACAATGTATAAACCATACACTGCCATTGTCGTGAGTATCTTATTTTAGTATCTATTAAAGTAAGCTAATGGTATTCGCATGTTCGACACTTGCCGATTAAAACATATTTTTGTATGATATATTTTTATTTATCATCCAAGACGCTTTTTACTCAATAGGAAAAATAGCAAACCGTATATATTTAGATGCTAATGCTCTACATAGTAGGTATATATACAATGACATGAATACAGGAATGACATACATGATTTAAGCTTTAAAAAAACATCGATATACCAAATTAACTAGCATCATTATGATTTTCTTTAATATATTTGGAATGGTAAATTAACAGCCCACTGGTTAATAATATGAAAACAATTACTGTAATACATTTTTACTAGCTGTGCCCGCGACTTCATCCGCATGATATTGATAACCTATGTGTTATTCTGATGTATGAGCTATTGTAAAGTTTCATCAAAATCAGTAGTTTTTGCGTGAAAGAGTCACAGATATCCACCTATCCATTTATCCATCCATACTCACAAACTTTCGGGTTTATGATATTAGTAAGATTTTTGAAACAATGTTTTATTTTAGGTCAAAAGTAATAAAGCAGAAGATAAATGGACTTAAGTCTGGTAGAAAATACGCAATACAGGTGACTGCAGCGAGTAAAGGAAACACCGTGCCTTATAACGTACTATACGTAGACACTAACGTATCATGCAAAGAGGAACATTAAATTGTAGAAAACAACGATAAAAAATTAATAAATGTATAAAGAATTCTTCAGCACAGTGTTCATCAAAAGAAATTATTAATAATGATAACTGAGACAACTCACACAACTCACACAGCGTCATCTTATCTGGTTCCAAGCTTGTTTAGCTTGTTGAGTTTGTATATTTAAATTTACTAAACAACTGATACAAATACTTAAATATATTTTGTTTTGTAAGTACATATATAATATACATGAAAACGCCCATAACAGTCAAATAATCATACGATAAATATAATATTTGTATTATACCGTGAATTCATCACGTCACAAGAATAAAAATAGTTGCACCGAGCGAGGAATCGAATCAGCGACGATCAGCAGTCAGGCGCTGTGGGAAACCGCTAGAACATTGAAGCCGTCAAATTTCCAAAATTAGTGAACATTTATTAGACTCCCATCCCTAGTGTGACGTAATATATTTTGCAATATTATACTAGATAACCGAGTGTCAATTCGATAATAAAATAATTTATAGCTTGTGATTATACTGCTGGAGTGTAAAATATTTTTAAGTATTTTAGTACAAATTTTGTATTTTAGTATCTAAGGAAACGTCACGTCAAGTGTAGATACATTAGATTTAGCGATACGATGGCACGAAATTTAGGACCCCTCCCACCACTTGTCACAAAATGTCACACTTTGTCAACCCTCTCCCTCTAACTCAACCTGTGACGTAATTTATAAATATTAATCAATCCCAAACCTAATTGGAGTATATTTAGAATGATCTCTAAACATTTTTTAAGGAAATATTATGTAAAAGTACGACAGTAGACACAATAGAAAATATTTCTTGTTATTTTCATTCAATGAGATAAACCATTCGGCAATTTTAAAGCACTATACCAACCATAAATAAAGCTATACCTAATGGAATAATGTTTTTTAAATAAAATGACAGATCATGTAATATGTAACATTTTATTCAACTATCCTAAATGAGATTAAAAAAAATGCATCAAGAAGTCTGCCAGTTATGCTGTATACAGAATGCGATTATTATAATAATTGAACGTAACACGATAAATTATAATATCAACTTAAAATACATAATGTAACCATTTTATTTAAATCTATTTATATATTTAGTGTAAATAATATACTTGTTTAATTATGTAAACATAACATTACTTATTTATTTGAATACATGCATTTAATATTTTTTTAGTAATATATAGTATTATTAAGTACCTACATGTTTATAATTGTACAATATTGACAATGTTATTTTAATATAGTAATTAAATTAATCGACATGGACATAACCCGGGATGGGTTTGAAACACTTTGAAATATGTCCCCACATATTTTAAAATATGTCTCATAATTTGAATAAATAGTCATAGTTTGATATTTTACTTTATTTTATTTTACTATTTATACTTAAATATATTAGATTTTTAAATGTGACATCCCTGTCTCGTTCACACAATGTCACACTTTGTCAACCTCCCTTAACATATGATGTAATTAGTGGGGCATCTACTAATTATGTGACATGTATAATTAAGGGCTATAGGTAGTAGCATTTAACATGGCAATTTTATAATAAAATTCTTCTAGATAACAAACCAAATGGAAAAAATTCTAAAACTGAAGAATATAATTCAATAGATGGGTTGGATGAAGTACATTTTTCAGTAATGTGTGTAATATTATGTTCATTGAGATGGATGCAGTAGAATGACTTATCTATACTTTCTGGAATGTTCCAACTATGGCAACACATGAAGGGTTGTCCAGAATAGGGACTTTTTTTATTACACTATAACAATTTTGTATAAAATACACCCCCAGCTTGTATTTAAGTTGTATAAAATGTTTGTATAATTTAAATTAATTTTGGATGTTTTGGTAGTATTTTGTCGAGTTTCATCATCCAAAATTCGTCGTTCATATTTTTTTAGTAACATTGTGTAATATATTTTAAGTTCCTACTTTTGTATAATTTAGCTACATATGTATGTAAATATTATATACTTAAGTTCTTAAAATAATAATTAAGATATTACGTTACAAATGATTACTAGATTCAAATACAGTTATTTATACTACGTGGGCATAGTTGGTTTAACCATAAATATATAAACATTTGAGTTGAATTTGAATAATTATATTATTTTAAATTACTATAAAACGCATAGTAAACGTACGTATATAAATAAAGCTTACACATAGTTTCAAAAGAAATGGCCATCGAACATAACGGCAAAATTTGATTTGATAATTCTGGTGCTTAATGTCCAGTAGGTAGTCTCTACTTGTTGCTCTAAAATACGTACTTACTACCAGAGATGAAAATAGTTCATATTTTATTTATTTTTATTTTATCTATGCCCATACTAAATCGAGTATTTAAAAGTTCAACTTACTTCTGTATACATAGTTTGAATTTTTTGTTATTTAAATATTTTTAAATAAAAAGCTTGTAAATAAATTTACAAATAATAATGCACATGTGTCATATTATTTCGTTTTTTCTTTACACTTCTCTATTTTAAATACCACTAAAACTTCAAAAATTACTAACTAATACTACTAACACCGACAAAAACTTAGCTAAATATTGTCTCTGTGAATATCTCTCCATCACTAGTTTTAACAACTAACAGTTTGCTCTGTAATGTTTCAATTTATGATACTAAAATTAGAGGATCTGGAGGCATAATACCTTAATCTTTCAGAACATTTTGCGTATGGGATGGGACGTCCATGATGGTCGAAATGTTATACTATTTATTTATGTAGGCTAGGATTGTCATTAATCATCAGAAGCTGTGGGGCCCACAAAATAAGTTGAAGTTAGTAAAAAATATTATATATGTCTTTTTTTTGGTTAAATGATACGAGACCAAAAAGTAATAATTAGCAGTTTTGATATATATATATATATTCATAAAAGACATAAAAGCTACAATCTACTGTACATTAATGTATTTTACAGACTAAAATTACACTAGACATATTATTGTATTTTATTTAATAAATCGGACTGGCATTATCATATCATGATATAAGTCCCTAAATAAATGTAAGACTAAAAAAAAACCAAACTAACTTGAAAGTCGGTTGGCAACACTGATAATTCCGTACCACTGACATATGTCAATGTCAAATCAGTGACAATTGACAATTGCCAAAGTTTGCTCAATCAATCTATGCTCAATCGTTCATCCATCATAATTGCATTGCGATGCAATTTCATATTTCATATATGAAAATAAAATTATATTTTTAAAAATGTCTACAAACGAAAAAGAATACTTCGGTCCTCTCACATTGCACCAGAAATGTGATTCGCCAACAATATTCAAAAGTGACGAGCGCACTGAGAGCCGTTGTGTGTTGTGCGATGAAATATTTATTTTACCAACTTTCGAAAAGCAATTACTTACTCATTTATTTATGGAACATCGACTTGTAATTGCTGATGTCAACCAGATAGCGGATTTGAATGGATACCTACAATATTGGAGACACAGATTTAAAGGTTAGTTGTTGATAAAACTAGTTTTCCATCTTGTGGATCCACCATAATAAGACTGTATTACAATCTGTTAGTAAATAGCCTTAAAGCCTCAGCTAAGGCATCAAAATATATACATGTCTCAAATTTTTTGATGTCTATGGTCTAAGTAACGTAAAAAAATCTAAAACATGTTAAAAGTTTTATTATAAGCAAAGTAGCACAGAACTGGGCGTTAGGGCTGGTATCTTTTGATATTTTTATATAATAATAATTAAACCAAGACAATTAATACAACTTGTAGTCCTAAATGGAACTGCATTTGTACTATGGGCACTAAACAACAGGTAGAAATCCTTAATTATATTTTTGGCATGCATACAAGTAATAGACAACAACAAAGTGACTTTGTCTGCAAACTTGTACCATACTTAATTCACCTCCTCACCATTATTAAAAAAAAATGAACTTTAAATCTGAGCAATAGTATATAAAGAGGAACAAACAAAAAAAATTTAAAGGGTATGTATGTGTATAGGCTGGATATGTCAGTCTATGTGTGTGTGTATATTGTAATATTAGTATAGATATATGGTTTTTATTTACAGATCAAAACCTACCTTATTTTTGTACAACAATGCTTCTAGACAACAAACCAGATGGAACAAAGTCTAAAAATGAGGAATATTATTTATTAGGTGAAGTTTTACCAGAAGATAAAGAATTACGCATGAATTTACAGCAAACAAAATTGGAGAAACTTCTACTAAGACAACAGTTTGAAAGAATAGACAAGAATTACAAAAGGGAGTGTCTGTTCTGCCGTTTTGTAACTGCCACCACAAGGGCTGCTTACTTAAACCATTTATATGAAAAGCATAATTTTCATATAGCCAAACCAGACAATTTAATATTTATTGATGAATTAATTAACACAATTGCTCATAAATTACAAAATCTTCAATGTATATTTTGTGAAGGATTGTTCAAGGACCGTACCATATTAAAAGAACATATGCGTAAAAAAGGTCACAAAAGGATAAATCCAGATAATAAAGAGTATGATAAATTTTTTCTAGTCAATTATGTTGGTGATAAAGTGCCACCTAAAAACAATCAGAAACTTCACAGTCATAAGAAACAAAATTGGACCGCACAGAAGAAAGTGGATTATGAAATGGATTCTAATGTAGACAGTGATCCAGAATGGTCGGAGTGGACTGAAGAGGATGGGCCATTAATTACATGTCTGCTGTGTCAGCATAATGAGAAAGAATATGATAATGTACTAAATCATATGACACTACAACATGATTTCTCATTCACAGATGTCACAAATGGTTTAGACTTCTATCACAAAATAAAAATTGTGAACTATATGCGTCGTCAAATACATTTGAAACAATGTTTTTCATGTAACACTAAATTTGATGAATTAAAAAATCTTCAGAAACATTTGAAAGAAATGAAACATTGCATACTAGACAGGGAGAAATGGGATCAACCTGAATATTATTTTCCTACTTATGAAGATGACTTATTTTTGTGTTTCATCCAAGATGATGATGAAAGTTGGTGGTCAAGTGATGAACAGGAAGTGAATAAACGAAATAGTATGTCAGATTGTATATCAAAAGAAATGGCACTGGCTGTATTAGATGAATGAATTACTAATGTAGTTTTAAATTAAAATTTTGTCTATCTGTTTATCTTGATTCCTGTCATTATGGCGGCTATGGTCCATTACGTCTCTAAGACACTGTCGTGATTTTTGAATATAATAGCCTAAGTATATTTGTCTATGACTGTACAATATAATAAAATGGATTTATTTTTATCAGAGTACTTATACAAGATTATGATGTATATTGGTGTTATTAAATGTTTGATGTATTAATGTTATAAATGGAATAAAAATAAAATATTGAAAATTTTATTTTAATTATTAATATTCAAAATGAAGCGATATTTGCATTCCTAATATTACCTGCTATGATAAAGAATGAGTGATTCTTTTGATAGCCAAGTATCACATTCTCTCGTGAGATTTCTAATTTCTATCACTGTTTTTGGGCAGTTTGTAGGTCCCAATGACATATATAGAGATATTGAGAGTTTTATTATATTTAACTATATATATATATATATATAGGGCTCTCAATATCTCGTTGCATACCCCGGTAGCGGTTGGGTAACGGGAGGCCGTTTATTTTATGTTTATTTTAATTATTTTTAACGATCCAACAATTGCACCCAATAACAATATATAGTACAAAATACTTATCGTACATTTCGTGCTATAAGGACTTAACACCATGCGGCATTTTCTGTTTATAAATCATATTGTCAACCATAATTGGTTATTGTTTTTTCCCATATTCAAATCCTATTAAAATTTTGAAAGTTTGTTTTTACCACCTTCACCACACACATCACCTGATGTTCTAACGCATCGATAGCATACTTAATATCTTATAAAGAGTATTTATATCTTGAGGGGGAATGAGCATTAAGGTGTATCTTCTGGGAAGAAGTGGTTTGGTCTTCAGTTCACATATTTAAGCAGCAAGATTCCAGAAGTTAACTGCGCGCCCTACTACGTTAGTACATCGTAGTATATATGACGTTATGGTGATTGAGAGAGAGTCATGAAGAACTATATATAAAGCCCGTAATGTCGAAGAAGCCAAATAAGTCGTCGACGTCGTCAACTCTAGCGCGCGATTCCAGAAGTACCAGAAGCGCGCGCCAATCAATCAAGTTCCGCCCCTACGGCGCCGGCCCCGCAGCCGGATAGTGCCGACTTCGCGCTTTCTACGTCCAGTGCTCCGTAGAATCTAATTACTAATTTATATAATCGAATATTTAATACGCATGTAAACAGATATGATTTCCTATCTTACACTGGTTTATACATTATATTGAATATATAGTATGCTTTAATGTAGGTAGCAATGTTAAAACTGATAATTTATGTAACCAATGTTTAAATGTATCGCGAGCGGATTTTTGCGTTTCACATTATCTAACGCGCCGACCTCTATTAAATATTGAGATATATGGGTTTCGTTACGGGTTTAATAGATACCGGTCTAAATGTTGTGTTGCTGGTAGCACTCTTTATTTTTTACTTGTCTCAGACATAACATGGTTTAATTCGCGATGTAAATGTAAAGCTCGTAGATATAAATGTTCAACTTGCAAACAATTGTATTTTTAGACGCAAATAATGAAACATTGTTCGATTTTTTGCGTAAAGCCCGTATAGTCCTTAGAGATTTGCCATCGCCCCGACATCTCTTCTCTCTTGGATGTGCAGCCACAAATGTTTTGCACCGGATGAAGCATCTCCATTAAGTGAATATATATATATATATGTCAATATATATATTGCTGTACTTAACTTACGCCCGCCAAGAAAGCTGTTTATGCAAGAACAATTTTTATTATTGAGGTCTATGAATACCGGAATGGGTATTCATTTTGCTTATAGGAGACTGAATTTTTATATCTGACGATTTGCTGCGACACTTAATGCCTAAGTGCATTCAGGCAGGGTAGTCAATCGTCGCGTCGCGCTGATCAGAAATAATAAGGCGATGCAAATGTAGGTACCTATTATGCAAATTAATAATGAGTATTAGAATATAACAACAGATAAACAAATAAAACTTCTTGGTTTAGGAAATTTGTCTATGTTGACATTGCTGACAAAGAAGACCCAATATAACTATAATAATTAAAATAATTAATAGTATTTATTGTGTATTACATACATTTTAATGTATGATAGTGAATGAGCGAGAGGCACTCGCTGTTGTTTGGGCCGTTGAGAAGTTCCGATATTGATGGACATGTGACTAACTGTAGATATAGGTAAACTGGATAATAAGGACCGCCATGTGACGAATGAGGTGACATCTGTGAAGTGTGTACCGTACATTCTTATACTATGATCCTGAAGTTTTTATAGAAACGATTATTCATATGTCAAAAGAGAAATGAGATAATTAAGAGAACAGGTTATACCAGGTCACGGTGGAGTAGAGAAGACAATTTCGCAAAGATTTTAAACTTCTGAAGATTATTTAAAAACTCATTAAATGCCAAAGGTATAAGCCCTCAAACTGTAAACCAGCCGGACTTATTCAAACGCCCGTTGACAAAGATTTGAAATCAAGTAAGGACCACAACAAAAGGACAATGGTGAGAGGTGGATCTTTTGATAAGTAGGTACATTACATAATAATAATAAATTTAGGTTGTTTCAGATAATGGTGTCCAGTTCGTTGCAGACGTTATGCAACAGACTTTGTCAGAATCTCATAAATCCAGAGGCGAACTGATTTTGTGTTAAAATATTGCTACCTGCAATACGTTTTGCATTAAATACTGCGTCGTCTAAAAGTACCGGATACACGCCGTCATTTTTAACGTTTGGCAGAGAGTTACGCTCACTTTTTTCCGCTCGGAGTGATCTTCGAGCCATCGTCGAAGCTGAAAATTAACACCGTACCTTTTGACATTAATTATTACGTACAGAAAGATATCAAAAGATAAAACACGTCATTTGAGCTGGTGATCTTTGTCAAATTTGTACTGCAATATTTGATTTAATTAAATCTCAAAGAAAGTAAGTCCCACTAAATAGATATTACACGTCTCTGATTATCCGAGGGTGACCTGTGGAGCCAGTATCAAAAACTGCTTTATTTTTTTAATATCTTGTGTATCCTTAAACTAAACTGTTGTAGTGTTGATTTTTCTTATTGTGAGGACACTGCTTAGGTCAAAAGGGGGAGTTGTAGTCATTACGTAAGTATATATATATATATAGCGGCGCACCCGCCGGTTTTTTCGTTGCTAAGCAACAGTACCCCGGTAGCGGTTGGGTAACGGGAATTTGTTGAATACCGCACGCAGCGCAATAGTCTTATTATTTTAATTATTTTTATGACGATCCAACACTATATAATAAAACTCTCAATATCTCTACATATTAGGGTGTTTATTTTATGTTTATTTATTTAACTTTAATGCACCCAATACAATATATAGTACAGTACATTTGGCGGACTTAACACCATGCGGCATTTTCTACCAGTCAACCATAGTTGGTATTGTTTTTTCCATATTCAAATCCTATTAAAATTTTGAAAGTTTGTTTTTACTGATGTTCTAACGCATCGATAGCATACTTAAAGCTTATCTATTTATATCTTGAGGGAATGAGCATTAAGGTGTATCTTCTATAGTGGTTTGGTCTTCAGCAATAGCATTCCTTAACTGTACCTTAGACATCGTAGTATGACGTTATGGTGATTGTCATGATATCCCTTAGCCATAAAAGTACGCGTTCTATTAGGTACCAGAAGAATCAATCAAGTTGTCGCGGTCATGTGGAATCTAATTACTAATTTATATAATCGAATATTTAATACGCATGTAAACAGATATGATTTCCTATCTTACACTGGTTTATACATTATATTGAATATATAGTATGCTTTAGCTTCATTAAAGGGTACCTACATTATCTAACCCTTTTCTCACAGACCCTTGTCTCAGACATAACAGACAGACGTAGCAGCAAACAATTGTATTTTTAGCCAAAAGTTATTCGATTAAGAGCTAGAGATTTGCCATCCCGACATCTCTTCTCTCTTGTGGCCATCACAAAAGCACATTAAGTAATATATATATATATATGTCAATATATATATTACTTAATTTTTTTTTTTTTTGTCTATGAATACCGGAATGGTATTCATTTCTTTATTATATAACAAATTAATGCAATTGCATTCAGGCAGGTAGTCAAAAATCGCGTCGCGCTGATCAGAAATAATAAGGCGATGCAAATGTAGGTACCTATTATGCAAATTAATAATGAGTATTAGAATATAACAACAGATAAACAAATAAAACTTCTAGAAGTCTATGTGAAAGCAATATAACTATAATAATTAAAATAATTAATAGTATTTATTTATTACATACATTTTAATGTATGATAGTGAATGGTGGACCCGACTGTGACTAACTGTAGATATAGGTAAACTGGATAATAAGGTGAGCATGAGGTCAAGTAGTACATTCTTATACTATTGAGATTTTTATAGAAACGATATTCCAGGAGAAATGAGATAATTATTATACCTACTAGATTCAATATTTTAAACTTCTGACTCCGGGAGCTGTTCCTTACATTGACAGATAAGTAAGTCTCAAAGGACAATTCTTTTGATAAGTAGGTACATTACATAATAATAATAAATTTAGCGTTAGGTATAACAGATTTGTCGTATAAATAGACTGATTTTGTGTTAAAATATTGCTAGAAATGTGCTCGCTATGTAGGTACTTAAATTAACCTTTGACATTAATTATTACGTACAGAAACATCAATGTCAGCTCTTTGTCAAATTTGTACTGCGAATATTTGATTTAATTAAAAGTTAAATAGATATTACGTATATTATACTGGGTAATATCAAAAACTGCATTAGTTTAAAGTTAGTCATTATATTGTTATTAATATTTTTTTTTTGTGAGTAGAATTTGTTTATTTTTGTATTTATTAACTTGTGCACACCATATTTATCATTATCCATACCGTCCCATTCGGTTGATTACTTTAGTTATAAGAAGTGACAAGTAATTCAACTTAACTCAACTGTTTGTTTCGCCATATAAACTTTCAACCCGTAGGTATTTCACTCCTTCCAGATATTTAGATAAAAGGTAGCCTATGTCCTTTCTCGTGACAAGTGTGTTCGAGCCGTTTAGTTTTGAAAATATTATATAACAAATAGGCAACAGTAGTTAGATTGTACATTAAAATATCCGAAACATTATATCAACTTACATTACAATAATCTGCTACTTCAACGTAATCACGTTCGT